AAGAACTAAAAATAGCAAATTTTGGCAGGGCTTAGGGCTGTTCTCATACACTAAATACAACTACTTAGGGCAGTAAACTTGCAATTATTTTAATATGCAAAGTTGAAGATATATGTCTTAGTTGTTTCACTTTCATTTTACTCTTTAACAAAAATATCACATCAACATTCATGGAATTACACTCATTCATCAATGGCAACTATATATTGCTATCGATATGAGAGTTCAGCAAAATCAAAAAACGTATCTGTGAGATTAATTAGCCATATGGAATTTACAATAGAAAACATTTTGTATTTTAATATTTTTGTAATAAGATGATCCTTTAAATCAGTAAAAAATATATGTATGTCCTTACATACATACATATATATAATATATACATAGCTATGGACTGAATTGTGTCCCCCAAATTCATATGTCAAGACCCTAACCCTCATGTGACTGTATAAATTTGGAAACAGGATCTTTAGGAAGTAATTAAGGCTAACTTAAGTTATAAGGATAGGGTCCTAATCCGACAGAACTGGCGACCTTATAAGAAGGGGAAGAGAGGAGGAGAGAGATCATTCACCACCTCCTAAATTGAGCACACAAAAAATGGCAGCTGCCTGTGGCTAAAATGAAACTTCCCTTGCTGCAACCTTAATCTTAAACCTCCCAGCCTCCAGAACTGTGAGAAAACAAATTTGTGTTGCTTATGCTACCCACTTTATGGTATTTCATTATGGCAGCCTAAGTTGACTACCATAGACACACACAAACACACACACTGGCAAGTAGACATATAATTCTAAGAAATGTTAAAAAGTGTAAGTGCTATAAAAATATGGAGTAAATGATATGGGAAGAATGCAGAGGAGGTGGCATTTTAGCTCAGCTAGGAGGATGAGTAATCCAGGCTAGAGATTTGAAGGACCTGAACTTGGGCAGTGGCCTTAGAAAAAGAGGTTTGTACTGTTTCAGGAGAACCCCATTTGATTTCTTGGCTGCAGCTGACTAGCACCCGGTCTGCCCATGGATACTAGAGGATAACCACACATCTGACAGAGGAAGAGCATTACAGTCTCTTGGTTTTCCAACAGGGTGCCAGTTTTCCAACAGGTTGCCAGCTTTCCAGTAGGTCCCCAGTCCGCTCCCTCTCCCTAGCCCCTTCATATTTGATTCTCAATCTACTGCTCTTCTAATGCATTTTTTTTCTACACTTTTCTCCAGGTCTCAGCAGATGACATTCCCTTTCCCTTTCCTACACACCTGTACCTAGTTAGTCACCACATCTTAGAAGCCACCTCCAAGTCATCTTTCCTCTTCTTTTCCCCAACAACACTGCCTCAATCCAGAATCACGTCACTTCTTTCCTACATGTGCGTGTTAACTTAAAACTCACAGGATCTATACATTTAGAAAAGGAGACTTTATTTCTTTTCTTTTCTTTTTTTTTTTAAATTTATTTATTATAAGGAGATACAGCCTGCAAGGTGGCCATCTCACAGGCTGAGAAGCACAGCCTCCAGCAAGGACCAGAGAAAGGCACTTTAAAGGAAGAGGGGCTGGGTAGGAGCTTTATGCTGAATAAGTTGGCTAAACTTACATATTCAACAGGTTATAGGAGGAGCTATGAATATTCATAAAAGTATTTTATAATCCTGATCCATGCGTATGGAACAACATGCATGTTACATACAATCTGTGTTCATCTTGGGGTGGAGACTTAACATTTAATGTGTTACAGTTAGGCCCTGTACATCAAAAGGTGAAGCAGAGATGAAGGCACACAAGTGCATGGCCTCTGTAAAGTGGCCAGAACCAGCCTATGGTCAGTGGTCTTATCTGGAGAAAGTTACTGAAATCAGTCTCTTGTGCAGTCAAAGCTGTAGCTATGGTTGGTATAGCAGGGGTTCAGTTAGTATCTGTAAGTTGGATCAGTAGTAATTGTTTTAATATTGCTTCTCTCTAGGCCGGTGGTTGTTTAGCTGCCAGAGGGTGCGGGGGGGGGGGGGGGGGAGGGAAACTCTTGTGGCAGAACATAGTTTATTTTATTTTATTTTATTTTTTATTATTATACTTTAAGTTCTAGGGTACATGTTCACAACGTGCAGGTTTGTTACATATGTATACATGTGCCATGTTGGTGTGCTGCACCCATTAACTTGTCATTTACATTAGGTATATCTCCTAATGCTATCCTTTCCCCCTGCCCCCACCCCACGACAGGCCCCGGTATGTGATGTTCCCCTTCCTGTGTCCAAGTGTTCTCATTGTTCAATTCCCACCTATGAGTCAGAACATGCGGTGTTTGGTGTTTTGTCTTTGCGATAGTTTGCTGAGAATGATGGTTTCCAGCTTCATCCATGTCCCTACAAAGGACATGAACTCATCCTTTTTATGGCTGCATAGTATTCCATGGTGTATATGTGCCACATTTTCTTAATCCAGTCTACCACTGATGGGCATTTGGGTTGGTTTCAAGTCTTTGCTATTGTGAATAGTGCCGCAATAAACATATGTGTGTGCATGTGTCTTTATAGCAGCATGATTTATAATCCTTTGGGTATATACCCAGTAATGGGATGGCTGGATCAAATGGTATTTCTAGTTCTAGATCCTTGAGGAATCACCACACTGTCTTCCATAATGGTTGAACTAGTTTTCAGTCCCACCAACAGTGTAAAAGTGTTCCTATTTCTCCACATCCTCTCCAGCACCTGTTTTTTAAGTGTAGGGGGTGCATGACTTAACCCTTGCCTGGCATGGCCTTAGGTCCTGTTTATAATTTGGTATCCTATTCCTACAAAGAGTTTGTTCTGTCAATGTTATGATCTTTATTGTAACATTAACATGTTAAACGTAGGCTGACTTCCTAGAACTAAATTGAAAGGAAAACCGTAACTTTCCATGCCTAAGTAGTTGCTAGTCAGTTGTGTCCAAACTACAAAAGGGAGGGGGTATAATGAGGCATGTCTGATCTCCTGCCCCATCATGGCTGGGGTCCCCTTGGCCAAGAGACAGATCTATCCAGTCAGCCGACAGACCCCTGACTTAGGATTTTATTTTTCGTTTATATATAAAAAAATGACTTCACAACTAATTTCCTGACCTTTAGTTTGCCCCTTTGGTCATCCTCCACCCTGTTGCCAGAGAGATCTTTCTAAATCTCATGATGTCACACTTCTGATTAAAATTGTACCATGGTTCTCTGGATTTCAGGGTCAAGTTCAGATCCTTTCCTCAGTACACGCCTGCCTGCCTTTCTAGCCCAAATCTTTCACAATCCCCTGACTTGCACCATCATTCTGGTCACACTGAACTAGTCCTCTGGCTATCCTGTTACTTCTTGCACTTTCTGTTACCCTGTCTGGAGTCCTCTTCCCCTTTTGAGGCGGCAGAATATCGTATAGAGGTAGGGAACCTAATGCCGTTTCTCTCTGAGTTCCTAGAACTAAATTGAAAGGAAAATCCTTACTTTCCATGCCTAAGTAACAGAAGAACCAGACACTACTCCCTTTGCAAGCCCGGACCTGTTCTGTGCAGCAGATGGGAAATTGAAAGTATCTCTGATTAGTTGCTTTTTGTAACCAATCAGACGTTTGCACAGAAGTGCAACTTTGTAACTTCACTTCAGCCTCTGATTGGGGGCCACCACTTCATTTACATGAAGTGAACTCCAAGTGGCCAATGGGAAACCTCTAGGGGGTATTTGGACCCGAGAAGATTCTGTATCCAGGGCCCTTGAACTGCTGTCCAGCGCTCCCACACTCTGGGGTGTACTTTCATTTTCAACAAATCTCTGTTTTTGTGCTTCATTCTTTCCTTGCTTTGTGCGTTTTGTCCGTTTCTATGTTCAAAACGCCAAGAACTTGGACACCCTCCACCGGTAACACTTTCAGCCAACTTTTTGTCCTTCAAGACCAAGGGCTGGAATTATCTTTTCCAGGAAACCTCCCCAGACCCCTTCTGATTTAGGTACCCTCCTCTGTGCTCCCTGTGATTAAATCAGCCTCTGTACATATTACACAATCACTATGCTCTGATTTCCGTTTATTTGTCCCTCTTTTGCAATCTGTGTCATATTCCTCTTTTTATCCGCCTTGCCAAGTATGGAGCCTGTCACATAGCAGGCCTCATAAATACTTGTTTAAAGAATTAATAGATATAGAACCACAGGGCTTAGTAAGTCCCTGGAGAAAGGGATCAAAGATGTTTCTGAGGCCTCTATATCAGGAAGTGCAGAAATTTCATGGTTTGAGCATGGGCAGGGAGGATTATTTGTGAGCTGTATTTGACGCAAAAGTTGCCGCCCCTTCCTGATTTCTTAGCTCACTTGGCCAATCGGCGGATAGGACAGGTGGAGCTCGAATTAGGAGAAAAAACTACACTTCCCGTCATGCCTCTGGGAACCACTCCCGTTTCCCCCCTTCGTCACCGCCTTTTCCCTACGGAAATGAAAGGAGCACTTCCGGGTTGGGCCATAACCTGGAGCCGGCGGCATAGGTTGGCTCTCTAGGGCTTCACCCTTAAGCTCCGCCTTCGCTCCCCTCTTTCTGGAAACACGGCTTTGAACTCGGGACAGGTACCTCGCGGCTGCTGCGGTGCCCTGGATCCAGTAGGCTACACCGGGCGAGCGAAACCCTTTCCTGGTGGAGGCTCAGAGTTCCGGCAGGGTGCATCCGGCCTGTGTGTGGCGCGAGGCAGGGAAGCCGGTACCCGGGTCCTGGCCCCAGCGCTGACGTTTTCTCCCCCCTTTCTTCTCTCCGCGGTTGCAGCGTTGCAGACGCTAGTGTGAGCCCATGGCAGATACAACCCCGAACGGCCCCCAAGGGGCGGGCGCTGTGGTAAGTGCGAGGGCAGGGTAGCCTGGCTTGATTTGCAAGAGTTAGGAAGAAGCAGGAAGTGTTGCGAGTCCCGAGGCGTTCCAGAAGCTCAGTGCTTTCAGGACTGGGATTAATGAGTTGGGGTGGGGAAGTTGGAACGGGGAGAGGGGAGGTCCTGAGCGAAGATATGGAGGGAACTACAAGTTTGTTTCCGAAGCGACAATAGACTGACTTGCAGCTCGTGGCCCTCACCTGTATGCCATGGAAATTGGGCCTTCTTTCCTCTTCTCACACCTCTGTCTCTTGTTTATCGTAGGCCCCAGGGTTAAAGATGCCACATGAGGTTGTGCCATGACACGCATGATCCATGACACACACCACGTGGAGCACACGGGTGCTGGCAAAGAACGTTTCTGCCTGGTATATACCATTGTATATAGAAATTATGCAAAAGGAGGAGAGCGGTGGTCTTTTTCTTCTTCACTTTGTTCTTTATGAAGAGAAATATCATTATGCTTTTGTAAATTTTTTAAGATGCTGATCTGGAGCTAACAATTTATTTGTGCCCGGAGCATTATTGTCCTCTACTTTTGAATCCATAGTTAAGTATTCTTCTGTGTGACCATAATGCAGTTACCACATTTGAGAAATATTACCTAATACAAAATCCATGTGCAAATTTCCATAATTGTCCTTTAAAGCTGCTTTCTCTTCATCCGGGATTCAGCCAAAAAACATGCATCGATGGCCGGGCACAGTGGCTCACTCCTGTAAGCCCAGAACTTTGGGAGTCCAAGGCAGGAGGATCACTTGAGTTCAGGAGTTCGAGACCAGCCTTGGAAACACAGAGAGACCTCATCTCTACTAGAAATCAAAAAAATTAGGCGGGGCGTGGTGGCTCACGCCTGTAATTCCAGCACTTTGGGAGGCCGAGGCGGGCGGATCGCTTGGGCCCGAGAAGCTGAAGCTGCAGTGAGCCAAGATCACACCACTGCACTCCAGCTTGGGCGATAGAGCAAAACCTCCTCTCGAAACAAACATAAATTAGCCGGTCTTGGAGGTGCGCTCCCATAGTCCCAGTATAGTGCGAGCTACTCGGGAGGCTGAGGCGGGCTGTGCTGCTGCGCTCCAGCCTGGGGTGACAAAGGGAGACCCTGTTTCAAAAAGCATGCATTCAATTTACTGTCTGTATCTTGTTTACTCCCTTTTAATCTAGGAACAGTTCTTCTGCCCTCTCTTCCCCTTTTTTATCTTTTAAGATACTGATAGTTGTGAGTCCAGACATATTTTGCAGCATATATGTATATCTGATATGTGTATCTATATTATATATCAGGAAGCATTTTACATTGGTTTATCCGATCATTGCAGAATTTGATTATTTGATTAAGGTGGTGTCCACCAGTTTCTCCATTGTAAAGATTCCTTTTTTCCTTTCTAACTAAAGTGTTCTTTGGCATGATACTGTGAGACTGTGTGAATATTGCTCCTCAACAATTTTTCACGCAAAGATCTAGTGATTTTTTTTTTTTTTTTTTTTTTCTTTAGCTATTTATTAGTATGATGGTTGGACAGTTTACTCTTAAAAAATGTATACCAATACACTTTCTTAAACTTTTAAAATTGTATAATAAAATATACATAAGCGTGTACAAAACGAAACGCATAGCTCAATGATTTATTGCAGAATAAACACCCTGAACAAATAGATTTTAAGGAGAATGTTCTAAAACTAACTTTCAAACTGTGGTGCACAGTTGTAATATTTGTTGAGAAACTGAGCACAGTAAGCTGGATTCATCCTTCACTTGATTACTGCTAATCATTTCAATTTACTGGAGTTACAGTATGGTAAGTCTGGATTTAATAATACATCCAAGTTGTATTTCATATTTCTGAAATTACCTACATGTGGGTTAAAAAGACATACAATAGAACAGCCTGGAATTTTACAATGTACTTGCATTTTCCCCTCAAATTTTTCATAGTTTTTTTCAAAAGATAAATTAAATTACCTAGAGCAGTGTTTTTAGACTTCAGGTAGACCCCTTAGTGAGTTGAGAAGTCAGTTTAGTGAAAACACCAGCTATTTTTAAAAAATTAAATAGAAAATGTCAAAATCCATTATGTACAGTAGGGTAAATATTGTTTGTGAAACTTTCGTTTATATATCTATGTATATGGATCTCGATGTTAAAATTACTTACGAAGATCCTAGACAAAACATGTAAAAGCCACTTTAGAATTTGAATATAAGATACATTTTAATGAGAAAACAAATTTTAAGATTCTGCTTTAGTGGTAATAGACATAGGTATTGGGGGGAAAGCAGCAAAGGAAAAGACAGAATGGGAAAAAACTGGAGAAGAAAATGGTATACGGAAGTTTAATCTAGCACTATCGAAACTAGGGTAAGACTTGGTGGGGGAACATGGAGGTGATAAAGAGAGTGGTGTAATCAGAGAGGCAGGTGGCCATTTAATACCTGTCAGCCGTATTTTGAGCACCTACAGTATGCCAGGCTCTTGTGCATGTAGGCAGATTACAAGGCGAATGAGTTCAGTTGTTACTACTATCATGGTTTTATATTTCTTCTTCAAAAGGTTTCTTTAATCCAAACTGGCTTTATGTGATGTTTTACTCAGCTCTGAGACCTACCTATTCAGATTTGAGAGTTTTTGCTAAGAATAGGCATATGGATCTCTTGAGAGCAATTAGTTTTTGTTTAATGTTCTTTTAAAATAGATGAAGCCAATATTACAAGTATTAAAGGAACACAGACAATTGTAGTTGAATTTCTGTTAAGACTATTTTTTCTAATTAATTAGTCTTTGCATTTTTTCAAATGTCAGCTGATGTTTTTCTGTTTATTTCTGTTTAAGTACTTCTTGTGCTTTCCACATGAAAACTGTAAGGTGTTCGGACTTGTCATTAAGCGTATACATGAAACATTTAATTGCCTTGGAGTTTTCACCTAATGATCTAAAAAACAAATGGAGCAAGATTAAAATATTTCAAGTAGAAATAAAAACCACACAGTCTTGATGCTTAAAAACATAATTTGCAGGCATAGCTTACAGTATTTTTCTTTTTAAATTTAGCAATTCATGATGACCAATAAACTGGACACGGCAATGTGGCTTTCTCGCTTGTTCACAGTTTACTGCTCTGCTTTGTTTGTTCTGCCTCTTCTTGGGTATGTATTATACATATTGCTGCCTTTGATATTCAATTGTTGAGTCGGTTTATCTGGAATGCCTTTTATGTGTAAGACTTGTTAACCTGTAAAGGGTTCAGGGACAAATAAAATACAAGTTCCAGCCTTAAGATACTAACAACCTAATAACAGTATCAGTTAGAGGAATATTTTATATCTTGTGAAACTAACACATTGAAAATCCAAGGAAAAATTGATGTGTGGGAATGAGATAAGTTCATGTTTTTTTCATTTTTACTTATTACTTGATGGAAGATCCTGCTTTATAAAATTCAGTTTTATAAATTGATTATAAAAAATTCAGTTGGACGTATATATGAAGTGATGCTATTAAAAAGGTAGAATAAGTTCATGTAATTTTTTTCTATTGACAAGTGATTTAGGTGTTGTGCAATTATGATGCAATTCACAAAGGAGGAAGAGACACTGCAGTTGTTTATATCTCATGATAACCTCTCCTCTGGTAATTTGCAGGTTACATGAAGCAGCAAGCTTTTACCAACGTGCTTTGCTGGCAAATGCTCTTACCAGTGCTCTGAGGCTGCATCAAAGATTACCACACTTCCAGTTAAGCAGAGCATTCCTGGCCCAGGCTTTGTTAGAGGACAGCTGTCACTACCTGTTGTATTCACTCATCTTTGTAAACTCCTACCCAGTTACAAGTATCCTTTTCTACCTTTTTAACAATGAAATTGCCAACTAAGTGTATAGGAGATCTCTTCTGATTATTTCAGCAATGAAGGCATTCCATGAAGTCTGGGTTTGTTCTTGGCACTTCATTTGAATGAAGATATGTTTAGCGTAAGAATTTCTGACTTTTAAAATGTGAAATGTAAACTTTGAAGAGCTGATTTAGGAATTTTAAACTATCTTTGTTCTTGCCTCTTGTAATCTCTGTTAGAATGGATATTTTCAAATTCTGGTTCGAAGTATAAGCTTATGCAGAACTTACTTTAATATTGAAAATTTTTTTCATTTAATTCACATTTTTGGCAAAGTGTCATGTCTTGCTATAAAAAAGAGAGGTCCTCAGCTCTTTCTATCTTAAGTGAACTAGACACAAATGGAATTTAACCAAGAAATAACTTATTTAAGCACAGAATGAGATAATACAAAGAAGTTAATATTTGCTGTGTATAGAGTAGAAAATAAGGACACACATGGATAATCTGTGAAGCTAATGAGAAATAACTTGTTTGGAATTTGTATGTTTTCACATTTCAAAGGTGTGTTGTGGGATGATACTGGGTATTCCATAAAGGAGGGGGAGAAATAGGGAAGAGGTTCTGTAGTGAACGCTGGGTTAAACTTTTTTTTTTTTTGAGACAGGGTCTTGCTCTGTCGCCCAGGCTGGAGTGCAATGGCGCGATCTCGGCTCACTGCACCCTCCGCCTCCTGGGTTCAAGCAGTTCTCTGCCTCAGCCTTCTGAGTAGCTGGGAAATACAGGCGCCTGCCACCACACCCGGCTAATTTTTTTGTATTTTTAGTAAAGACGGGGTTTCACCATCTTGGCCAGGCTGTTCTTGAACTCCTGACCTCATGATCCACCTGCCTTGGCCTCCCAAAGTGTTGGAATTATAGGTGTGAGCCACCACGCCCGGCCAGGTTAAACATTTTTAAATAGGGTTCTTTACTATAGGGACTTTGGTATTCTAACGTGTGTTGTGAAACTAAAAGAGTTACCAGGGTTTTTTAAACTTAACGGTTTTGGTTTTTTTTCCTGTAGATTATCTCTGCAAATCGTTTTGTGCATTGAGAAGTGCTGCTCTAAGAGCTTTTGAATATTATGATACATCTATATGTTATGTAAAGCACAATAAAATATTCCTCTGAGACTGAATATTACCTATTTAGATACCTATGCTCATGAAGTATCAAACTTTTAAATAGATTTTTATAAGTCTTAAGCAAAAGAAATAGGAGGAAACAGAAATTTCCTGAGCACCTATTTTGCCAGTATAAGAACTTGAATTTAGGCCAGGCATGGTGGCTCATGCATAGTGGCACTTTGGGAGGCCGAGGTGGGTGGATCACGAGGTCAGGAGATTGAGATCATCCTGACTAATATGGTGAAACCCCATCTCTACTAAAAATACAAAAAATTAGCTGGGCATGGTGGCACGTGCCAATAGTTCCAGCTGCTCAGGAGGCTGAGGCAGGAGAATTGCTTGAACCCCGGAGGTGGAGATTGCAGTGAGCCAAGATCATGCCACTTGCACTGCAGCCTGAGCGACAGAGCGAGACTCCGTCTCAAAAAAAAAAAAAAAAGAACTTGACGTTTAATCTTTGTAGCACTCTAAAAAATATACCACTCATTGTGGTATATTTTTAATAAAGATGCTGATTTGCTGATTATCGGTATCCACTTCCCACACATTGGCTAGTAAGTAGTTAGTAATACTGAAAAGGTCTTTCTAACTTAAAAGCCCTACCTGATCTACAGTTAGTGGGTGAGTAACACTTAAGTGTACATTAAAGATATTTCTTTCTGTATGTGGGTAAAGCTGGTAACTTCATTTACATGTTCATTATATAGAGATTCCCTTTAAATTACATGCTTCACTGAGATAATATGGGTAGTTTGAAATGTAAGGATAAAATTTTTCCTGTTTCAATGCATGGGTCTGTAATGTCCCGTCATAATTTGTATTGGTTCATTTTTAGGTAAAACTTATTACATGATTATTATACTATGACTGTAAATGATAATCACATTTGTTTGGCATATTATTGGCCTGACTGGCCTCTGTTGATTGAAGTGCTTTGCAGTCACCAATGTTAAAATTCTAGACTTTCTGAGCTATAACAGGAAGTTATGTAGAGATTTTTGGTCATGCCTTTTAGTAGCTTAAAATTTCTTCGGAGGGAGAAATAGAAATGACAGAAAATGTGTTTTAATGTCAGGTAAACTGAATACATCAATAACTTTGGGAACAGTGCCTTACACAGATGAGTAAGTTTTGTTGAGTGAATCCTGAGGTCTTGCCAAATGAGACTCATGACTAGTGAAGAAAGCCTTTCTGCCTTTTTATACAGTTGGTTATTTGGTAGCCCCTCTTTCCTGGGAATGTTGAAGATTAAGGATTTCATATTCCTTAAATTCTTAAAAAGGGAATGTAGTAAACAGTGGGAATAACATAAACTAGTAATTGGCAGGAAATGCTAATCTGATTATTAAGGTGATATGGTAATAAATAAAAGTGGGCCCAAAGTAATATTACAGACTTGCATTCTGATTTTTGTTCTTATAAAGGAGATATTTTGTCCTTCCTTGATTAATAACAGGTACTTAGGGCATTTCACCTCTTATTTCTAAATACATTGTATTAATAGTTTAAAAGTGATGTTGAAGACTAAGATTATGAATCTCTTAGCAAGGATTTGTGAACTATAGAATGTTAGAGATAAAAGACTCATTGGAAATTTCTAGCTGTGATCTCTGCATACTCATTTGCCAGAGCATGAAACTTGGCCTAGGAAAATTAGGTTAGTGACAGAGTCAGGAGTGGAACCCAGGTATCTTGACTCCCAGTTCAGGGCTATATTTTCACTACCTGACACTGCCCCTTTTATTGAATTCAGTCTGGATATGCGTCAAAGTTTGAATTGAATTCTTTAAGGATCAACAGAGTTTTATAGTGACTTTAGGAGATAGTTGTAGCTTCCATCAGTTTCAAAGTAGTCTATGATTCATTAAAAATTTTAAAACTTTTTATATACATATATGATCCCTACTTAGGAAATGGACATTTTTCTTAATTCTTGTTAGAGGTGGGAACGAGTTGGTCAGGATATTAATTTGGAAAACTATGTTAGACAGTTATGGTTCTTCTAATACTTGGATATAGGTTGGTGTCTTGCTTGTCAGTTGGAAACTGGGTCCCTTGGATTCCTAAATGAGTTATGGTTATAATGAATTTGATACTCAGATTATGTTATAGCAATCACCATTTCCTGTCATATCAGTCCTTCAGTTAGTATAGAAAAATACAATGGTTCATTTCTTAGGAACTGCTAATATTTTTAGGACAAGTATTTTTGCCATTTGTGATTGACTAACAGTCTATATCATTTTGTGGAACTACTTGATAATTTTTTTTTTTAAATCAACCTGGTAGAAATTGGGGTGGAGAATGGGGTCTTTTGAACAATTTCCATTTTACAAAAAGCTGAATGAAAAGTATGTTTATCCATGGCATAAAGCCAAACAGTTGGATTCAAAAGGATTCTTTCCTTATGTCTGTAATTAAGCTGTTAAGAGTTTCAGTTGACTGTATACAAAGCAAAATATATACTGCCATTTTAATTTTTACAAATTGAGAGCATAACTGTAACAACTTGTTAGGTATAGTATCTCAAAATTTTAGAGTCTTTGTAGGAAAGAAGTAATAAAAGATCTTTAGTCTTTGGGATTAAAAATTTGTGAATTACTCTTTAAACCATTACCTTAGACTCTTTCCTCAGCATTTGAGATTGTGAAAGCACTATAAAACTACTGTGTTTGAAGGGTAAGTGAGAGTGACCAAGAAAGCCGTTGTAGGGTTAAAAGCTATACTTACAACCCTTTGGGGTGACCTAGATTTCAATTTAATTTAGCAAGTGTTTAAATTGTTACCCAGTAGAAATGAATGAAAAAGCTTTTTCACTATTAATTTTTGTCATAAAAAGAACTGTGAATTGGCCGGGTGCGGTGGCTCACACCTGTAATTCCAGCACTTTGGGAGGCCGAGGTGGGCAGATCACCTGAGGTAAGGAGTTCGAGACCAGCCTGGCCTACATGGTGAAACCCTGTCTCTACTAAAAATACAAAAATTAGCTGGGCGTGGTGGCAGGCGCCTGTAATCCCAGCTACTTGGGAGGCTGAGACAGAATTGCTTGAACCCAGGAGGCGGAGGTTGCAGTGAGCCAAGATTGTGCCACTGCACTCCAGCCTGGGGGAGAGGAGTGAGACTTCATCTCAAAAAACAAACAAACAAACAAAAAACCCTGAATTTTAGAAAATGAAATAGTTTACTTTCTTCTTTATAGTTAACAAAATTTGATTTGACTTAAAGTATATCAGTAAAACAAACCATTCCACTGAACTCATTTTAGCAGATGTTTCAGATCTATATATTTGGACATAATACATAGTCTGTTTTGCAGAATACTTGATGACTTTTAAATGTTTTCCTTAATTGTTTTCTTTAGTGAGTATCTTCCCAGTCTTGTTATTCTCTTTGCTTCATGCTGCCACATATACGAAAAAGGTCCTTGATGTAAGTAAAACTGCTGCTTGTCTGACTTCTGAATTACAGATCATTGACATGAATTCTCATTCTAAGACATTTTGGTATTTGTCACAAAAAGTCCCTCCATTCCTTACAAACTTGTTATGAATTATTTGGTGATTTGAAAGTTTTAAGTTTAGAAGTGTTTATTGAAGTTTCACAAACTAGAACATTTTATAGATAAAGGATTGCACTTAATATCACCCCCCGGTCTCCAGGGGACTTTTTCAAGTTTGAAATAGATCTATTTTTTTGAAACCTGTGTCTCTAAAGTTTGTTGAGTTGTCAGATCTCTTGTTCTGTCAGTGTTCAATTCTGGCATACCAAATAAGTTGAGTGTACTGAATGAATCTCTTTTACATTAATTTTCAGAACTGTGGCTTTCCTGAAATTCTTTCTTATTGCTAGGTTGGAGCATTAAACCTAACTTGGCATCAGGCCATTGACAGAATATACTGAAATTTGAATTAAAATATCCAGGCAAATTTACCAAGCACATTTACAGTATATATACTGAAATTTGAATTAAAATATCCAGATTTATGCTTTGTATTGGCCTTTTTCTTTATCCCTGTAATTCTTTGGTCACAGCAGTAATTACATTGCTGTATAATTCCAACATTAGCTAAGGAAGGAGTCACAGATATTTTAACTGTATTACTGGATAGTCAGATTTTGTCATGGTTAGAGAGAAATAACCACTATTTTTTGTTAAATAATCATTCTTGAGAAAAAGCAGCTAAGAATGAAAAGTACTTTTACTAAAGTTGTTTTTTATATTAAGTCTAAATATATAAAAAAGCAGGAAAAATACTATATTTGTCCTTAAATGGTTTGTGAACTTTGTACCATCATTTCCAAAGTAGTATATTTGATTGTATTGCCTGTTGGATAGGCTAGTTACTTACAGAAAGAAAGTATTGTTATCAGAAATGCTTCCCTTATTTCTAATGTTGGTTTTCTTTTGTTTTAGGCAAGGGGCTCAAATAGTTTACCTCTGTTGAGATCTGTCTTGGACAAATTAAGTGCTAATCAACAAAATATTCTGAAGTTCATTGCTTGTAATGAAATATTCCTGATGCCTGCCACAGTTTTTATGCTTTTTAGGTAAGGAAAAATTGTATTTGTTTTGGGAGGCTGATGAATAAACATAATAAAGGTAGAAACTCAAGTTTTATTCTGTTTAAATCTGTTGAAGGTAGGTATTGACATGTAGAGCTAGATGAATCTTAGCAGTCGCCTAATCTAACCTTTGTCGTTTATAGTAGAGAACTTGAAATATAGTAGACCTAGGAATTTGTCTTATTTCTTGTGATTTATCATTTAACATTTTAAAAATTACTTTCATAGTTACCACCTTTGAAAGAATCTTGTGAAGTCTAATCTAGTCCATTCTGTCACTATTGAGATGATGTTTCTTACACTAGAGAAAAACTTTTAAAATTATGTTCTTATATTAATAGTGACTACTATCACCTTATTTTGTTTGTATCTTAATTACAGAAGTAATACGTGAATAAAGAAAGCCATCCTTTTAAAAGTGTGAACATTAAGATAGTATTGACCTCTGCATTGAAATTCTTGCATTACATTTTAAAACAATACACCTTGCCACCCAGATGATTGCTTTATCAATTTTTAGTGTTACAAGTAATGAGACATTACAGATAAAAGCTAAAATAACATTTGACTATATGAGTCCTAGTTGCAATTTTGTCCTCTTCCCAGAGGTGTAAGGAGTTTAATATGTGTCTTACGTATGTAGTCCTTTAAAAATACTTATAGAAATTTGTAGAACATATATATTGTGGATGTGGAGTTTTGTTTGTTAATTTGTTTAGTTCTTATTTTACATCAAAGATGTTATTCTGGCTGGGCATGGTGGCTCACACCTGTAATCCCAGCACTTTGGGAGGCCAAAGTAGGTGGATCACTTGAGATCAGGAGTTCAAGACCAGCCTGACCAACATAGTGAAACCCTGTCTGTATTAAAAATACAAAAATTAGCTGGGCATGGTGGTACATGCCTGTAATCCCAGCTACTCGGGAGGCTGAGGCAGGAGGATTGTTTGAATCCAGGAGGTGGAGGTTGCAGTGAGCCGATAACACGTCACTGCACTGCAGCCTGGGCAACGGAGTGAGACTTTGTCTCACCAAAAAAAAAAAAGGTGTTATTCTGTACCTTTTTCCCCCTTGTATGTTTTCATAACCTATTTGATTTGGCATATCCAGTTCTGTTTTTTTTTTTTTTTTTTTTTTTTTTAAAGCCATATAGGATTCCAGCTTATCTCCTGATCATGGAAATTTGTTTCCAAATTTTTAGTTTTTCAAATATTGACCAGTAAATATTTTTTACCTGCTTATACTTAATGCCAGTGTTTTCTTCAACATAGAAACCAGAAAAGATTTTGCTAAGTACAAGCTAGGTGCCTTTTGTGTTTAATGGACCATGCTAAATTATTCTTTAAAATGTCTGTGTTACCTGTTTTTCATAATCTTGTTAGTTTGTAACAAACTGTCATTATTGATTTTATAGTTATAATTTTAAATGTACCTTGCTTGATTAACTAGTAAAGTTTTCATGTACTTGACAATTACTTCTTTCCATAGCAGTCTCTTCAAACTAAGAACAGAGTTTTATAGATTTCCTTATAAACGTATATCTGTTTCATTCTTTTAAGTGGTGCTTTCTTCTGAGAACTCCAGGACTGGTAGGTGTTGCTTAAGTTGTGTGGTCCCAACTAGATTTGATGCAGTTGTATTTGTAAATTAACTCTAAAACCTTGACCCTAAAATTTAATAAAAGCCTTCTCTTCTCCTAGAAGCTGAAAGCATATAAAAGAAAAGGGTAATGTAATCTGGAACAACAGAAAAAGGGACAAGATCAACATTCTAATATTTTTCCTATCGTTTATAGGTTTTTCTTTTCACCTCTTTCTTTTGTGATCCTGATCTACACTTAGAAACTTTAATTATTAGTTAGGAAAAGGAACTTTTTGCCCTTACTTTTTTTATTCATTTTTCTGGGGTTTTTATGTCACTTAATCCTGCTTTTGGGTCAGACCAAGTTCTGTGATTTGTTTCATGTAACTAGATGGAAGTTAAAATGGTAGATACCAGGCCGAGCACGGTGGCTCACGCCTGTAAACCCAACACTTTGGGAGGCCAAGGCGGGCAGATCACGAGGTCAGGGGATCGAGACCATCCTGGCCAATATAGTGAAACCCCTGTCTCTACTAAAAATACAAAAATTAGCTGGGCATGGTGGCACGCGCCTGTAGTCCCAGCTACTCGGGAGGCTAAGGCACGAGAATTGCTTGAACCCTGGAGGTGGAGGTTGCAGTGAGCCGAGACCATGCTACTGCACTCCAGCCTGGCGACAGACCAAGACTCTCTCAAAAAAAAAAAAAGGGTAGATACCGAGACTAGTTTTTTTATATGGGTATAATTGATATCTATATTCTGAAACCTCCAGATTCTGTTTAGTAAGCAAAATAATTTCTTATGCTCCTGTTAAATCAGAGTAAGATGATTTTAATGAAATTCTGAGATGCCATGCAAACTTAGACAAAGACTTCACTTTGGAACGATAGTGAATTTTTTGTTAGGAGCACCAGGTTTTGACTGCATTGGTACGTTGAGTTGTGCTCCTTAAATGTTTAATTTAAACGTTTATTTGTACAAACTTACCGTCTTAATTTTTAAGATCACTGTAAAGAAGATGAGACTTTACCAGAAATGTTTAAATAGAGAAATCATTTTGTTTGTTTGAAAAATTAAAATCAGCTTATATTTCCTATTAGGAAAAGCTGTTAATGCCTTAAGTAGGTAGCTTGAATATAACCTAAATAATAAAATTAAGAACAATCTTACATTACTGCTATTCCTAATATGCTACCCTTCGTGGTAGACACACAGTCTAATATTAGGAGGCTTTATCAAGTTGTATTTGCACCAGTAATGCTTCAAGCTTTGTATTTAAAAATTGATGCATAGTCTATGAGTTATCTTACATATGCATTATGCACGTGTGCAAAGACAGATAAAGAGATCATTGTAGGCCGGGCGCGGTGGCTCACGCCTGTAATCCCAGCACTGTGGAAGGCTGAGGTGGGTGGATCACGAGGTCAGGAGATCAAGACCATCGTGGCTAACACGGTGAAACCCCGTCTCTACTAAAATACAAAAAATTAGCTGGGCGTGCTGGCGGGTGCCTGTAGTCCCAGCTACTCAGGAGGCTGAGGCAGGAGAATGACATGAACCCGGGAGGCGGAGCTTGCAGTGAGCGGAGATGTTGCCACTCCACTCCAGCCTGGGAGACAGGGAGACTCTGTCTCAAAAAAAAAAAAAAAAATATATATATATATATATATATATCTTTGTAGCTTTATTTCTAATTGACTGGAGCCACCCAAATATTCATTAGTAGGGATTTTGTTACATAATAGTCCAAGCATTAGATGGTATATTTGAAGCTGTAAAAAAGATTGAGGTAATTTATGTATTGTGATATGGGATAATCAATAATAAGTTAAACGTAGTTGTGTAGGGTGTTCTTAAAAATTTGTCAAATTATTGGGGAAAATGGATGTTGCATTTGTTTAGCGGTAAGTTTGTAATCGTGTAAATTATTTTTGTTACGAAAGTAATACAATTTAGAAGAAAAGGCTAAAAAATTAACCTAATAAAACACGTTTGGCATCTTGATATATTTCTTCCGATTTTAAAAATATAGTTGTAATAATATGTATAGTTTTATATTCTGCTTTTTTCAAAGTTGCTATGTAATTTTCATAACCAAGATTCTAGGTAGTTGCATGTTAAATCTATTAAATAACCGTAATGTAAGTTGTTTAATTCTGCTTCACATTAGGTTGTTGCCACATTTTGTTTGTAGTTATTTCAGTGAATGTCTTAATTCAGATAGTTTTTCTTAGGGAAGAATTCCAGACTTGGTATTTCATAAACATATATATAATTCTTGGAGTATTGTAATTGTGTTTTTTAACCAAGAACAATAATTAGTATAGGCTATGTAGATTTACTAATGAGCCAGTGTAATTTTTGTGGTTGGCGGGGGAGTGTTTGTTTTTTATAATATATATAAAATAAGTCACTTTTCATTTGCATATTTTATGAAGATTTACAACTTGATTTCATGAATTAGTAATTATGGAAGTATTTATGTAACATTTTCTGATTTATTTAGTATTTTAAAAAATTTCAAAAGTAGTACATACAAGAATACATCTATAAAAATTTAACGTTTTACTGTTTACCAATCATATACATTCTTTTATATTCGAGGATAACTTGGATTTAGACATGATAGATTTCACTATGACCATTTGATGAATGAAGATACACATATTCTCCAGTTGAATTGCCTTTAAGTTTTGAGAGCATACACATGAATTAATAATGTATATTTATCACCCTTGTATTTTTTTATTTCAGTGGTCAAGGAAGTTTGCTCCAACCTTTTATATACTATAGATTTCTTACTCTTCGATATTCGTCTCGAAGAAATCCATATTGTCGGTAAGCTGATGATGATTTTATGCATGTTTTATTTGTTGAGAGTATTATGAATATATAGTATTTGTAATTCTTAAGAGTTGCTTAGCTAATGTGTTAGAATTTAGAAGCAAGCAGAGAATTTAGAAGCAAGCAGTGTTTCGGTAATTTTAATGTAGGCCTTAGAATGTACTGGGGTTGGTGAGGAAGTGGTTGTATTTCTTTTTGGAAACTGAGACTGCAGTTATCTACGCCACCTCTACAGCACTGCTAAAACTTAGCAAATTTTAAAATGTGTAAGACATAGGTTTCATTCTCAACTTTCCTAGTTGAAGAAACAAAACACATGTCAATTACATAAACAATGATTAGGATACAGTATTCACTATCCAATAGGTAATGAATGCCATATGTTTGCTTTATTATCTCAGTACTGCAGTCCACAGAAGGGAGATACCATTGGGCCAGAAGATAGATGAGCCCAGGAAGGTTTCACAAAATTGAGATTGTGGGAGGAATAAAACTTTTGAATAGTGAAAATAGGGAAGACCATTTTAGGTGGGGAAATAGTAGGAGCAAGAGAGACGAGAAGCACAGGCCGTATTTGAGGAACTTTATTTAGAGCTGTTTTGACTCTACTGGAGATTCTGAATGGTGAATTGCTGGAGCTAAGATTAGAAAGGTATATTGGAGCCATATTATAAAACTTCTTGAGTTTTAGGGTAAGAAGTTTGGAATTTACCTTTTAGGTGAATGGGAATGATGGTTTTGACATGGTCAGATATTCTTCTGATAGCCTTGTGGCAGAAGAGTTTGAAGCAGAAAAATGGGGAAGCAGAGAAATTTTAGGGAATTACTGTAGTTTTCAGGAATGGAGGCTTAAATTAATATACACTAAATTATACATTCTGATCTCAAGCATTGGAGTAAAACTAAAATGAATAGATGTTTTTAATAACTTTAAAAATGATACTCAGATACTAATATTAACATAGTCTATTTTCAAGTTTAAAATAATGGAGTAGAATTCAGCCAGAAATCCAGTGAGTGCATTACAGCAATCTGTACATTATATTTTCATGAGTACAGTGAAAAGAACTTGAATTTGAATGCTGATCCATCATTAACTAGTTGTGTGACTAGGCAAGTTATTTAAATTTGGATTTCTTCATTGGTAGAGGAAATAATTCCTTCTGGGGGGTGAAGTGAAGTAATATTTTAAAAGTACTTCGACTATTACATTCTTACTAGTTTATTTTCGTTATTCTATGATCTGATTTTCCGTTCAGAGTGTTTTTGTGCTCTATTAGACAATGTCTTTTTTATAATACTTTCTAAAATAGAAATTACTTTAGACATTCGTTCTTAATGAGTCTGTGGTAGCAAATTAACATTCATTTTTACTTGATTTCATGAGTTTTAGCCTTTTTTCTTTCTGGTCCCTATATTCATTTCAGACATTATGTTATAGTTTTTTGCCCTGACATCTGTTATTTTAATCAGCACATTTGTTTTTCTGTGCTTCTTTGTGCCTCCCTCTCCATTCCCATTTTCTCCATATACCATTAAATCATATTAGTACATCTAGAATTTAGTTTTCAGAGGACTGAAAAGGAAAGAATAGCGGTGAATCAAGATAACACAAATATGTGCTAGTAAACATCTTCAAAGCTCTCTTACAAGCACCCATTTTAATCAAAACCATTGGAAAGGTAATGGAAAATATTTCAACTTGTAAATATTGATAAACAGGCTATAAAACTATATTTTCAGTTCTACACTTTTTTAAATTAAAGGTTTTGAGACCATCTGTATTCACAGTTCGTACCACTTTCACTATGATATTTATTCTCAAGTTGGTGATTTCAGTTCTTTTTGGATATTTAGTACAGATTGTCTCTAGCTGTGCTGTCCAATACAGCACAGCAACCACATTTAACCATTTAAATAAAATTCATAAAACTTAAAACTCAGTTCCCTTGAGCATAGTTCACGTGGGTACTCAAAAGCCATATGTTGCTGGTGGAAACTGTGAGTCAGCACAGATATGCAAAAATTTTATCATTGCTCAAAGTTCTGTTGTCAGTGCTATTAAGGAACTCTGTAACTTGGTCTGTCAGCACAGATATGCAATAATTTTATCATTGCTCAAAGTTCTGTTGTCCGCGCTGTTAAGGAACTTTCTGACTTGGTCTGTGCCAGTGATGCAGCCAGTAATAAAAGAACTAGCTATGTGACTTTAGTGAAAGTGATTGACTTCATTAGTCCTCATATCTTCTAGCTTTATTCATTTGACTGATTGGTTAAAACAGGGATTGTATGTTGATGAACTTAGGTGGAATTAAAATATTTTCTTTCAGAGGTACTCACTGGTGAGTAAATTAGACAGCTATGTAAGTCAGTGTGGTGATGAAGGTGCTCTGAAAGTATAGAGAACAGACAGAGACAAATGAGAAATCACTGAGGAGGTGGGGACATAAGCCAAATCTTTAAAGAATGAATCTGAGTTCTGACACATGGGTGCCTGAAAAGTGCTTAGCATACTTGAGCTCAGGAAGTATATAGAGGATTGATAAATATTTCTGTCCAGAAAGGTAGATGGTAGAAAGCACTACATCATGAAAGGGTTTGGATTTTATTTTGAGATAAGGAGAGCCTTTGAATATTGTAACATGGAGAGATTGGGAACCCCCATGATGAAATCTGATTTAGAAATATTCCAGAAAATGGATTGCAAGCTCACCAAGAGAAGAAAAATACCAATTTGGAGACAGTTAGAGTAGTCTAGAGCCTGAACTAATCCAGTGGTAAAAGGAAAAGGGGACAAATATGAAAGGTATTAGGAGGTAGGATATTAGGGCTTGAGAGAAAAGAGTAAGTTAAAGACCCGCGGGTTTCTGGCCTGGAAGCCTAAGAGAGTTGTAATGGTGCTCTCACGAAGACAGGAGATACAGGAAGGTCAGGTTTTGGAAAATATGCATTACTCCAAATATTATTATTTCTGTCTTTCTGTGCAAGCATATTGAATACTTGTTTAGAAAAGTAATTTGTTACTTTTTTTCTAACCATAAAAGTAAAACAGGACACAGAAAGATAGAATAGGAGTTGCATCTTTATACAGGATGAATCAACACATAAGGTGAAAATTGTGAATGATTAAAATTACCTTTGATGATCCTTCATATCACTTATAAATGTCAGTACAGTATACATGATTTTGTGTATACTAGCCTGTATAATGTATGTGATGTGTACAGTATGTAATAATACTTTGTAGGCAGTGAGCACAGTTAAGGCATAGGCAAAGCCCACATGGTTTTGGGCACAAACATGTAACATAAGTCCATGATAGGAGCGAGGGCAGGGAGTGGCAGGAGATGGGACAGAAAATTAGATGGAGACTAGATTGTGGAGGGTATTGGGTGTTACGTTGAGGACTTGGGCTTTAGTCTGAAGGCATAAAAGAGTCATAGTTCAGTGTAATGATCCAACTGGGAAGTTACATTTACTGAACATCTGTGTCATATTTAAACTTCACTACAACTCAGAATTATTTTACAGAAGAGGAAATCTCTGAGGGGAAATATGTACATTTAGGGAAATAGTAGGTGAATAAGTATGTAATAGCGCCCATGTTATATATTTTTTCTTGTTCTCTTTTAAAAAACTAGTTGAAATTGCGTAAGTTAAATGTGAAAATGTGACTCTAAAGACAAAATATATAATTTTTAAAATATAATCTGAGGTTTTAGAGCTAGCCATTTATTAAATACCTTTGTTAAATGAGTGTTTCCACCCATAAAAGATGTAGATGTTGAGTTTGAGAATTTCATTGTGTGTATTTTGTGTTTTCTCTACAATGAATTCCAGTTATTCTTTTACTTCAAATTCTAATGGCTATGATATATTCCTTCATCAGCATTTGTTTAGCCTTAGAGGCATACTTCAGAAATATCATGGAAGTGGTTCCAGAACACCACAATAAAGTGAATATCACAATAAAGCTGTCAGATGAATTTTTTGGTTTTCCTGTGCATACAAAAGTTATGTTTGCACTCTACTGTAGTCTGTTAAGTGTGCAATAGCATTACTATCAGCAATAAGGCTGTTTTGCTTTCTTATCATTCATCCGTTCACATAAATAGCACTTTTGATTTCCTTCAGGAACTTTTCCTTTGCATTCACAGCTTGGCTATTTGGCACAAGACATCTAGCTTTTGGCCTGTCTTGGCTTTAGCCATGCCTTTTTCACTAAGCTTAATCATTTCTAGTTTTCATCCAAAGTGACAGACATGGGAGCTCTCTTTTCACCTGAGCACTTACAGACCATTGTAGGGTTATTAATTGGCTTAATTTCAATATTGTGTCTCAGGGAATAGGAGGGTCTGAGGAGAGGGAAAGAGACCAACCAGGAATGGCCTTGATTAAGTACTTTGTCTTATATTTGTGCAGTTTGTGGTGCCCCAAAACAGTTATAATAGTAACACCAAAGAGCATGATCACAGATCACCATAATAGATACAGTAATAATGAAAACATTTGAAATAGTGGGAGAATTGGCAAAGTGTGACGCAGAGACATGAAGTGAGCACATGCTGTTGGAAGGTGGCGCTGATAGTCTTACTGTATGCGGTGTTGCAACAAACTTTCAATTTGTAAAAAATGAAATATCTGTGGAGTGCAATAAAATGAGGTAAGCCTGTGTATTGCTTTTTCCTTGTGTTTCTCAAAGAAAACTATTTTATCTTGCAGGACCTTATTTAATGAACTGAGGATTGTTGTTGAACACATAATAATGAAACCTGCTTGCCCACTGTTTGTGAGAAGACTTTGTCTCCAGAGCATTGCCTTTATAAGCAGATTGGCACCAACAGTTCCGTAGTTTAACATCTAGTTAAGCTACAAATATAGTATAAGCATTATTAGCAGCTGGTACTTCTGCTAGGGGTTGTAAATTCCAGGTGTTACACTGACCTCAATCCAATTTACATAATTTACATAAATGCATCTCAGTGGAAAAATAATCATTTTCTTGGCATGTTAAATCAAGCTTAAAAAGTTTTGAGAAAATTTTACTGCGCTGTGTTGCTAATGGTTAAAAAGTCTGTATCTAGTGATACATGTACCAATTTTTTAAAAAAGATGCTGTTGTGCCTATATCATGAAGTACATTTATTTCTCTTGTAAAAATAGCTCTAACATTTGTTTCAACCGAATTGGTAACCTGAGTTTAAATCTGGCATGCGTTCATTATGGTGATAAACATATGTGAATTCAGTACATTTTGAGACAGTATTCTACCATTCAGTAATTTTGGTTAATGATTTTAACACTTCTCAGTGTATTTAATTTCAAATTGTTTTTTAATTGGTTTTATGCTGCTTTGTTAGGACAGATGTGTTTTGAATGTACCATTATAGGAAGAATTCTGTGTATCTTAAACTACGACCTTCTAAAATTTTATTTCCATAAGTACTTCTGTGGCCTTGAGTATTTTTTAAAAGGCTCAACTGTAAGCCTCTTAGCCAGCTGGATAAATATTTGGGGTCACCTTGCCATTGAAAGCAGAAAGCAGTAGTGACACAGCTTTCCCTTCAGAGAGCCATTGAGAAACAGTTCTCAAATAGGAAATCCTTCTTTTACTAATGCAGACATATAGATTATTCGTATTATAGTTTGTAGAACTACCTAGTTCAGAATCTTGACTGCCAGTTTTCTTGGTTTCTTAGGCTTAAATTTTCATTGACAATTGAAACAGTTTAGATGCCTTTTGAAAGGAATGTAACGAAGATTTAGCATCTGACTGTATGTGTGTCTCTTCTGAAATAATAATGGAGAGTGTACTGTGGATTACATGTTTACCCATCAAATCTGACTTAAAAGGTTAAATGGAAGGTTTTATAGGTAAGGTAATTGATTGGGAATGGAGTAGGGGGAGGAGTTGTGGGGGAATAGTGTGCATTTCATTTGGGTTGTAAAATGTGTTAAATCCTGTTCATTGAACTCCCATCAACTCTTTTATAAAATTCATGCTGATCTTCATTACTGTTGCATGATTGGAAATGTTTAAAACATTGTACAGTTTTAGTACAGAGTAGTGTAATGGTTTTTGTGACCAGTTTTTGTCTGCATGTAATTTGGATTTCTCAAATACATTCATTAGTAATTTATCAGTAACATTAGTTTTATTTTTGTTCATCTTCCTAATCTATAAAAAGGGGATATTCTTAGGATAAATACATGAAAAATTATACTTGATAGCTTAACTATAATCAGCTATTTTTGTATTTTTGTAATATTTGTCCACAAAGTTGGAGAAGCAGCCTCATAATATACAGTTGATTTTATGTGTATGTAGCTAGTCTTATTGTCACTATATAAGTAATCTAATGGTTTTAGAAACTAAATTTTCTAGAGCAATAAAATGACTATAATGTTAAGTAAACATAACATTGATTTCTAATTATGTTTTTAAAAATGAAGTCTTGAATTATGTCAAGAAATTTTGGCAGCTGAAGGCTTTTCCTATAATTTAAAAAAATGTTTTAGATTTATAGAAGAGTCGGAAATGTACAAGAGAGGTTTTCTGTTTTGTTTTTGTTTTTTGAGACAGAGTCTCTCTCTGTCACCAAGGCTGGAGTGCAGTGGCGTGATCCTGGCTCACTGCAGCCTCTGCCTCGCGGGTTCAAGTGCTTCTCCTGCCTCAACCTCGCAAGTAGCTGGGACTACAGGTGCATGCTACCATGCCTGTAGTCCCAGCTGTATTGTAAAAATACAAAATTTTTGTATTTTTAGTAGAGATGGGGTTTCACCATGTTGGCCAGGATGGTCTCGATCTCCTGACCTCGTGATCTGCCTGCCTTGGCCTCCCAAAGTGCTGGGATTACAGGTGTGAGCCACCGCGCCTGGCCTAGAAGAGTTCTTTTGCATACCCTTTACTCAGCTCCTCTCATGTTAACATTTTACGTAACTGTAGAACATTTATCTAAAGTAAGATATTAGCCCCAGAACAATACTACTAACTGAAGTATAAAACTTATTTGAATTTCAACAGTTTTTTTTCATTTCTTATTTTCCTTTTGTGTGCTCTGTTTATACCATGATCCATGATTTTTTTTTTTAATCATGATTATCTTTTAAAGATCTGTGTGTCTCTTTTTTGAGTTTTTCCTTTTTATTTTGAAAAGTACTGTTGGTCAAGATAATTGGTCAGTAATCCATGTTGGTTTAACAAAAAGAATTTTAACATTAAAACTACTACAACATAAAACAACACTGTGCTTTAAATTGAGGTTTTGTGTCATTATAGCAGAATTACAATATTTCTGATATACTCATGTTTGACAAGTTGAAACAGATTTGTTTCTTAAAGGAAGGTTTAATATACAAAAAAGGTACTCTTAAACTCATGAAAAAGTAAGTTTTACAATTTAAGCATTACTAGATGTTTAGTTTGCATGAACTTATAGTTAGAAATTCTGCAATAGAAATATCTACAACCAGCTGATTTGGAGTTTGAAATTACAGTGTTACATGTATACCTATCAAATTAAAATTAAGGAAATAAAATAGCAATATATAGAATGAATGTAGTAAGAGAAATTAACTCTTTACTGCATCGTTCAACTTATTGTTAATTACAGGTTTAAAAGAAGTTCATTTAACATCCAGAGTGTCTAATTCTTCAGGAAGTGGTATAGTACCATTGTTCTTCCAGCACTTAAATATTAAACCTTTTTGGATAGATGGAAGCCTTATACAAAATCTACTTTATTTTAGCAAGGATTCTCTGTCCTTTTGTATAGTTGGTACCTTATTAATTTAAACTCTAATATCAGTCTAAAGAGAAATTTATTAAGTGCAATTTGTATTTAGTTTTTTTTTTTTTTTTTTTTTTTTTTTGGGAATAAAATTCAGAGGTAGATCCTCCTGGAAGAAAGAAAGCAAGCGAATTTGTAAAGAAAATTAGACTTTGGCCGGGCATGGGGGCTCATGCCTGTAATCCCAGCACTTTGGGAGGCTGAGGGGGGCGGATCACGAGGTCAGGAGATCAAGACCATCCTGGCTAACACGGTGAAACGCCGTCTCTACTAAAAATACAAAAAATTAGCCGGGCGTGGTGGTGCGCGCCTGTAGTCCCAGCTACTTGGAGCCTGAGGCAGGAGAATGGCGTGAACCTGGGAGGCGGAGCTTGCAGTGAGATTTCACCACTGCACTCCAGCCTGGGTGACAAAGCAAGACTCTGTCTCAAAAAAAAAGAAAAAAGGAAAGTTAGACTTGAATATTTAAGAATGTCCCTTACAGAGAACATCAAGGCCAGCTATAATATTAAACTAAAAATTATGAAAAATTAATAGGTTCTGTTATAGAGCTAAGAATGATGAAATTATCAATACTTCCTTCCTAAAAATCCAGATCAAAACTTCAGGTTAGGTTTCTAAGTTTAGGACATGAATATTATTTTTTCTGGAAAAGAAGATGAGTATACGTGTAATAAGACAAGTAGAACTGAGTGTTTTTTAAAGTTTTAGTTCAAAATAACATTAATTTTGAGAGATTGAGGTGAAGAACCTTAACTAATGCTAATGCTTAGGAGTTTATTTTGATTAACATAGTTATTCTGACCACCACCTCTTCCTTCCTCAACCTCCTTAGAATCTGACAGTCTCAAAGCTGTCACACAAATTAGACTAATTTTGACACTTTGAAATGAAAACTCCAAGGAAGAAGTAGCCACGGACAGTTATGTTTATAATCAGTAGGTGGCACTCTTTCCTCAGGTAGCCCCCCATTTTCACATGGTGTGTTTAAAGGTTAAATGCCACCAAAAGTGCTGAGTCAGCTATAAAACTAAGTCCCTGAATTCCATGACCCTTTTAAATATGTAATCATTCAAGATTGAAAAAATATTAAGCATTTTTTGTTTGCTTGCTTGTTTGTTTTTGAGATGGAGTTTCACTCTTATTGGCCAGGCTGGACTGCAATGGCGCCATCTCAGCCCACTGCAACCTCCACCTCCCAGATTCAAGCAATTCTGCTTCAGCCCCCCAAATAGCTGGGATTACAGGTGCCCACCACCATGCCTGGCTAATTTTTGTATTTTCAGTAGAGACGGGATTTCACCACGTTGACCAGGCTGGTCTTGAGCTCCTGACCTCATGATCCGCCCGTCTTGGCCTTCCAAAGTGCTGGGATTACAGGCCTGAGGCACCACACCTAGCCTACATTTTTAAAATACTGAATTATTCAAAAGAAGTACCCTGTCAATATGTGCTTTCTAGGAAAACAGTAAAATAGGGCACAATTTGGAGTGACATCATTAAGATCATGGTCTATCCAGTTTTTTCTTTTCATGCTAAGTGCCTAAATCACCGAAACACACTAATATAAAATTGTACTTTCTCCTTCATTTTCAGATGTGTAGGAAAATAGTACTTAAAATGTTTTCATTATAATTTTGTAGGTAGACTAGATATAGCAAGTTCAACCTCTTAAAATTTAGACTTTTGATAGTAATATAAAATTTGTAGATATTATATGAGGAATGGTACCCAGATTTGAAAATTAAGCTTGGCTTATAGAGACAACTAGTTTCTCTCTGTCTCTCTCTCTTTTTTTTTTTTTTTTTTTAAGACAGATTCTCTCTCTGTTGCCCAGGCTGGAGTGCAGTGGTGCAGTCTCGGCTCACTGCAACCCCTGCCTCCTGGGTTCAAGCGATTCTCATGCCTCGGCCTCCCTAGTAGCTGAGACTACAGGCATGCACCACCATGCCTGGCTAATTTTTGTATTTGTAGTAGAGACAGGATTTCACCATGTTGGTCAGGCTGATCTTGGAACTCCTGGCCTCAAGTGATCTGCCCGCCTCAGCCTCCCAACGTGCTGGGATTATAGGTGTGAACCACTGAGCCTGGCTGAGACAACTAGTTTCCCTTAACAACTCACTGGAATTCTCTAGGATTAGGAGAATTCCAGAGACTATATGATATTATAGCTCAACATTTAGTATACCAAAGGCATACCTGTGTAAATCTAGGAGTTATTTCCAGAGATTGTTTTAAGGAGCAGTCTTATATTCAGGGTAGAAAGTTATGATTGGATCTTATATGAAGGAGAAGAAAGGAGCTGCTAAGAGTTTGGGAGGTTTCCTGGTTATAACTATTCTAGGAAATGTTTATGTTCTAAGGCGATGTTCACATGGGTTCTTTAGAAGGAACATATTCAAGTGTGATGGATTAACTCTATAGCCTTTCTCCTCTTGTGCATGTAGGAAATCTGACCTGCAATGTGAGTTGATGTCACAACAGATAAAGAAAGCACAGTATTTTAAAATCTAAAGCAGATTCCTTTCTTAGAAAACAATAGGAAAAAATTATAGATGGATATCTTTGCTGAGATCTAACAGTTAGCTCATATTCCAGGAGAAAGAATGGCGTAAGAATCATTTCATTCTATCTAGCCTTCTGAAGCTACCCACTTGATATGCTTAGCACTTTGAAACTAACCTTTTTTTTCTTGGTTCATGACAGTTTAGTTCCAAACATTTACTATTTTCTCTTGTAACTGTTAGAACAGTTCCTTTGACATTAATTTTTGCCTACATATGTATTTTTTTAAGTTGAGACCAAATCAGTGAAGTGTTGAGCAAGTATCATTTATGATGTGTGTATATTGGAACAAATGTAAAAGGGTTACAAAGATTAGAAACAGGGTCATAAAAAATGGTTTGATTTATAAATGCATTACTTTTGGTGCTTTATATAATGGCATATATTGAACTAAAAATTTGTATAGACAGTATGTCAGCATTTCTTAGTAACTTCTCTTGAATCCATTTTTAATATCTAATATTGTACAGGTTGGAGGGTTACATTCTTCAGGCCAATGCTATCCAGACTATATAAATTTATAAAATAAATTGAAAAATTCATTCCCCTGTATTCAAGACCAAAGCACATAAATGCTAATGTAGAGCTCAGAGGGGAAATATAGTTTTCCTGCATATCTGAGAAAATGTGAAGTCCTTTCAAGAAAATCTAATAAACATAATAATCATAGCCTGCTGACACTAAGGAAAAAGGACCTCATTCACTCTTTCTTTTATGCAGCGATTTACTGGTCCCTACTGATTTCCAAATTGGATCACGGTAGTAAATTATCCATGCTGGTACCTGTGAAAGTAAGCCCTGAGATCCATATTTGTTTTGTGTTCTGCTTAAATCAGCAAGAATGATAAATTTGATGGTGTGAAATTGGAAGTATCAAGGGCTTTCTTTGGTGATTGAGGGAAATAATGTCTCTACTTGTAATTTATTGTGACCCTTTTTCACTGTATGTGCTTTGTATGTCTAATATTTATTTCAATGCAAATTAAATTGTTCATCTGCATTGTTATATCTAAGATTTTATTGATGTTAAAATCTAATTGTGGAATAAAAATCTCTCTGGATTTAAGCAGATATAAAAATGTTATCTTGCAAAGAACTAAGAACATTTGTAGTTAGAAATCAGCTTTCCTTTGAACTTAATTGCCTTTTTGTTAGAATAAGGTGAATTTAAACACACTTCTCTTATCCTCAGCCCATCACAAATAATAGAGATGCCGTGATTTTGAGGTCTGATGTGAAACTGGGAAAAACGTGATCTAAGGTGTAACTGGAAAACGAAAAAGGAAAAAAAATTACGTTGATGTCTCAGCTGTTTGCTTGATTCTGTACTTTTTCTTAATCTAGTGAAATTTATACTCTAGAGATGAGTTAGAGCCCTATAATGGTTCACAGTATGCAGTATATCCAAAGTCATCAGTCAACGCAGGATAACAGAGAAATATATTTCCCTTCTAGGTGTTTAGAATTGACACCTAGAATTTTCTGTGGCTTTTTAACAACTGGCAGTAAGCAATACACAGTACAAGGAAGTTAAATCCTTGTCTATTTGGAGATTGTAATCTAAGAGGCATTATGGAAATCAGTTGTATAAAGGCAATTCTGACAGGTGAATAAATATTAATTAGTAAATGAGTTATCTACATAAGGGAAAAAGTGGTAACACAATAAATAGAGTGTTAGGAAAACTGATTTCCTAAAGATTTAATAGTGTGAGGTCTTAGGGACATATGCATTATTGACTCATAATGCTCTTTTCTTTAGCATATGGAAATATTTGGGGCTGTTTAGAAAATAATTCTGAGCTTTGGGAAGGGGAAAATATTTTATTCCTCAAGGCTGGTTGAATGGAGAAACTCTAAAAAAGTGGTGCACTGAGA